AGTCCACATAAAACAGGGTGTGACAGAATGAAATATTATGTACTATAGCTTGACATGATCTAAATCACAGACTGCTTAGACCAAGCGCGTAAAACAACCTACTGTACTCGGAAAATTACGATTCTGTTTTTAATAGGCTGATGTCATCATTATGTCATCATGTCATCATTATGTCATCAATTATGTCATCATCAGGAATGATGAATCATCATTCCTGATGATGACATAATTAATGTCGAAATATTGAATCCCAACACGATGGCGTGTATTTCAATACTTGGAGTATGTATTATACTTTCTTAAGTAGGATTAACTGGGTGTGTAATGGCTCCTGTCTATTTCTTAACCAAAACCCCGATTCTGAAATGGATCATTCCTTTGTTAATGACATTAATTCCTACTGATATTTCTTCCTACTGGCTTTATTTCAGAAGGTGCACTGACCATGTTCAAATAAAATATAACAAAAGTGACAAAGGGAGGCCATATTTACTCAACGTTTCGACTTTATTAAGTCATCATCAGGAATAAAATAGGCTTTATTTCATACACCCCAAATATTAGGCCTACTATGTATATACTAAATTTGCATCAAAGACATACTGGATATATAGGCCTATGCCAGACCTAAAATGTTCATTAGTTTCCAGGAGATGTTAGGACTTTTCCGCGTGATTTGTTACCACTTGTGAAAGGAAAAAGAGAGACCAAAAAGAGATCACCTAGGCCAAGGAGCCTGTTTATATTAATTTTACCTAAATATATTTTTCAATCATCATGGGTTTATATTCAATTAATTGACGGCTTAATAGGTTATACTGGTACTTTATTTAGGGGAAAAAAAAACACAAAAAAAAAAACAACCCAGAGTATATTTTATGAAATAAATCAATGTCGCGCATCTCCTTTGTTTCAAAATGGTTTCAACCATTGTGATCGAAATAACATCTGTCGTTGAGAAATAATTTATTACGTTATCGTTTGGATAGGACTTATTTAATAGTCCTACCATACAGTGTACATTCATGGTTCATACGATACGCAGCCATTAAGATAAAGTTTAGAGAAACATTAGAGAGAGTAATGGTATGATGAATGGCAAATATACTGGTCCCAAATCTAGATAAGCAGGGGTCAAGGTAGGGGTAGGGCATGTACCATAAGAATAATAAATTACAGTTTGTATTAAGAACTAAACTTTTTTTAGCAGTCCAACAAACAAGATTTCAATGTGAAAATTATTATTATTAATAATAATAATAATATTTAATAATAATAATAATAATAATAATAATAATAATAATAATAATAATAACAATAATAATACTATAATAGGCGTACATGTCCAACTAACTAACCATGACTTAAGAATGTAAGTAATGGACCACTATTTAATTATATTTTTCATACACTATATTTGTAGTCTTTATTATGGTTAGTCGTTTCTGTTTTGGCCTTTCATATGTATTCATGTCAGTTGCATTGTTTTAAGTTTTATAATTGTGTTCTCTGTTTCTTTTGGACGTACCTTAACAATTTTGAATTGTACCAGTATTAAAAATAAAGAGTAGCCATGATTGGGATGGTGCATATCAGATGATATCAGTTACTGTAGATATTCATTGCCAAAAATGAACTAGTCTGTGATATTATTGTATACATTATAGATCAAACATTATGGCTCAGAAAATTTAACAATCAACGAAGAGCCCCATATCCATAGTGTATTTAATGTATGACTGGTTTCTCTGTGGGTATATTGATGCACAACACACCAAACGAGGTTTCAACAGCACAAAATGACTAGATTAAAACATTTTAACGGTTGATTTGATCATTAACTTTTAGTTTGCTAGTTTAACCAGGTTTAACCACACATCAACTACGTCCCAACGGCCAGGCGACTTTAATATAATACAAGACTGTTATACAGTCTTGTTTAAACAGTCTCTACAATATCATTTAAACCAGTATTATAGTGTACAGTATAATAACTCCCTGGTTATCAGTCAGGTTATTAATAAAATATCACCAAATCGTTCCGCTTACCTTTCTAATCCTTACCATCCCCATTGCAGTAACAAGTTTCCTTAGAAATTAACATGTCCACAATAAAGACGCACTACATAGAAGTATAAAGCCTTTAACGCTAACTGTGTTTACATTGAGAAGCGAAGTATATCCCTCTGTGGTAAATAGCAAGCTACAATGCACTGGATGTTAGCAGTGTGTTGCAAGAGATGTCACTCTCTTTTGCACACTTCCGCAGGTTATGTCGATGGAAGGTCACTGTAGCTGCTTGGCGAGTACTGTATTCTCGGATTACCTCGTTCCGGTTTTTAGTGTACTGTATAATGTACA